AAATGATAGATAATAACTGTTAATACATTTTCTGTCAGTATTGGGTTGCTACTGCAAATAAAACAATACTTTGGGGCAAAAACCTTATTTTAGTTTATAAAAATAAGCTTGGCATTCTGAAACTAAGTAATTGTAAATGTAATTACAAATTTAATTAAGAGCAACCGTGAAAAAGTTTTGGGGTTTGTGCTCACAAATTTCTGAATTTTTGCCATGAAAGCAGAGTATTTGAATAATGTGAGTTTTTTCAACAGACGTACTTTCTCCTTAAGAAAAGATTTCATTAAAATAATAAAATGTTTTGCATTTTAAACAACTGAGCTGTTTATTTTTATGTTTTGAGAAGTAGTCAGATGATCCTCTGTTAACAGTGGCTTTCAGTTTAGGCATAAATAATTGTAGAAGATAACACTCTTGAAGTGTTCTTGAAGTGTTCTGTGTCCAAGTCAATATGTATGTACAGATAATCAAGACCCCTTAAAATGTGGAGGCCTCTACTTTTTAGGATGTATACTGTACTACTTTTTAGGATAGGTACTGTAATTGTTCCAAAAACTCTTTGGGATAGTATTGGTGATTAAAGTGACTTCTTGAAGCAACTAACCCAACTGACCATTTAACTCGTTTGGTTTGTGACAAGCAAGAACCTTTCTGCTATTGCATGTGAAGAGACGTTTGCATGGAGACCATCACAGTCTTTTTTCTAGCTAAATCTAATTCTGATGGGAATGAGTTTTTTTTCTGTTGGTTATGACAATTTTGGTAGGTGACACTAACAGTTTAAGAATATTTGTGTTAAACTGTGAGACATGGCAATTTCAATTTTCCCGAAGTTTATGAAAAACAGCATCAAGAACTGGTTTAAGAAAAACAATTTCTTGTACTAAACCATCTAAAAAGGCACTGGATTTTCAAGTATCTTATCACTAGATATGTTAGATCTTCCATCAGGTTTTATGTGGTATACACCAACCGATCTTTAAATTTCCAATTTTCTCTCATATCGTAGCAGTACGTTTTCTTTTTTACGTTCTAAATGAATAGCTATATTGATTACAAATGCTGCAGTGTCTATATATAAAACTTTCTTGCTCAGCATCAATTTTACCAGGTCTCTCTATCAGGGGTTTAAAGGACTTACTTGCAAATGTAAAGATGAACTATGAACTAGCACAAAATTGCCCCTTTTTTGCTGCAGAGAGACTGTCTCCTCTGAGAAGATCCAATCCACTGAGAAGACAGTTGTAAAACAGATGTGCAGGTCTCTCTTAATTTTTCACACAGGCCTGCCAAATGTACAGCATCTCTAACCAGGTATTTTGAGGTTGAACTTCGTACCACCTTTTGTTTTCCTTCTCCTACACAACTGAAGAAGCATTTCATCCAAAGACATGTTCTAGGAAGGTTAGGGAGAACAGACACCGCATTTATAAAGAGCAGGCCTTACATTGTGGTATTAGCAGTTGTGTTGCATCTAGTGATGCTGCTACTAAACTGAACCTGCAGGCTAAACTTGTTTTTTAGATTTCGTTGAAGTTTCAAGGAATCTGTTCTCCATGCAACTGAATGCAACAGATGGTGGCCAAAATCCTGTAACATTTGGGATCAATGATATTGCCGGTTTATTAAATTCACAGGTAAAGTATGTGTTTGTACAGTGTTTAATTGTTGTGAGGAGATTATTGGAGAGCTTAGTATACGTGAGATTATTCCAAAGCTTGGGCAGGTTTTTAGAACAGCTCTGTATCTTGCTGTGCTTTAAGATAACCTAGTTTCTGTGAAGCTTTTTAAAGCAACCTACTTTGCAGAAAGCAATTCATGTAATTATGTTGTGAGTCGTAAGTATGGACAGCAGTGATTTACCAAGGTTTCTTAAATGGAATATGTATTGCTACTACCTGTGTGACTAATAAACAATTATGGGGCCCATTGATGTGAACTACTCCTAGATGGAATATTGCTTTATTCTGGAGGTAACATTTAAGAATGAATGCCCAAATAATCTATTTGTAACATAGGAATACTTGAATAAAATTATGTACTATTTAAAACATTGAGGAAAACAGGGACGATTAATGTGTATTCTTGGCGGGTTTTGGAAATCTTTTTTAACGGGAAAAATAATTAATCCTTTGGAAGATAAGTTGGTCAGAATTCCCTTTAAAACTCTTAGTATTTTCAGTAATGTTTTCCAGAGCTTTGAATAATTTTAAAATTAAGATTATCTTCTCATTTTATTAGTGAGACCTTTTAAAATTGGATGTAAAAGATATGGAAGATGTGGCTAGCACTAGATTCTAACCAGGCCTATTTAATTATGCAGTTTGTAACCTGTGGTTCTTTGGAGGATGACGTGGAAAAGCTTAAGAAAGAAAGGGATGAAGCTTTAAAAGAAATGAGCAAATTAAAGGTAATGCTTAATTTCAACTTGTTTTATTTTAGAGACTAATTTTTTGAGTGTACATATTGTGTACTTTACTGTTTTTCTTTTGAATTTTATGTGCAATATTCGATGAATAAATAAAAAGGCAGAGCAAACAGCCTAATTGTGTTTGAAGTTCATATGCTCACAATGTATTTCTGGAAAACATGAATTATATTTGTTATACTGAATACTAACATGCTTTTTAATCTGATTCGCAGGGAGATGAGATTAAACAGGCATTTCACCAAAGTGAATTTGGAGAAGTGACTGATTTGCATAGCAATTTTATTTAGAAATGTGTGATCCTAGTAACCAGAGTGTCTGAGCATATGCTAACGCTTCTGAAAGAAATTAACTGGAGGGTGAATTAATCTGTTTGCAAAATTATTACAGATTTTCACATACACTACAAAAGACATAAAACCAAAAGCACTTAATATGTTTATTTTTACTTAAAACTTGGGTTACAGCTGTTTTTAAACCAATGCTTACAACTATTGAACAACCACTTTAAAATAAAAAATAAAAAAAGAATCTTTAGAACTTTTAACCTTCTGAATATGGTGCAGCCTGCAGCAGTGTAGCCTTACTACAGGCTTCTGGTGGAAGTTGGTGAGGGAAAGTATGGTCAAACATACAAACAATATTGAACACTGTTGAACATTCCTGATGTGAATGTTAGGTTGTGCAGCAATCTTTTAAAGTCACAGAGAAGTCTTTTTTCTGCACATTTACCAGGTGGCTAGGTAACAAGAGACTTAGAGTGTGTGTTTGATTTGTATTGCAGAAGTGTTCAGTGTATAATGCTAGCATGCTTAAGAAACCTAAACAGCATAATATCGATGAACTCTCTGAAAAAAATAGCTTTTACAGATTAAAAATTGATTTTGTCCCAGGTATAGTAAAATCTTTTTGATTATTTATTATTTCCACCAGAACTTTTCAGATAAGTGTGTTTATGTTTATTCAACATTATTAGTGGAGTGTGGCATGACCTAGAAACATAGCAGTTGTAAGCAAGTTAGTAATACAAACTCTCTCTTGCATAACTAGTTATTTATTTATTTATTTTACAGGTAGAATTGTCTGAATCTGTGAATTTACAGAAACAGTTAACAGAGGAGCTACAAACAGTCAAGCAAGTATGTTGAGTTTCTTTAAAATAAAATCTCTTTTTCTCTGTCTTGGCAAGAAGGAGGGAGGACTTCTTGCTCTCTTGATGTTTGTATAGACTGTACCTTAACACGGATTTCAACTCAAAGTGTTTATTTTGCTACTACAAAGCTGTTGATTAGACCTGGAGACTATATATCCTAAAGTTTTTGAAGCAATGATACTTTTTTATTGAACTGAGTTAGGAACCATAGGAACCATAAGATAAACTGGATAAACTGGATCAGGTTAGTTGGATATCAGTGTAGTACCTTTCTCATCTTAAGTGTTCTTTAAGTGACTTTGCTGTTCTTAGGTGACAGTATGCCTAATCTACAATCTTAACTTTTGCTATTTTATATGTCAACGAGAAATTTAGGTATGAAATAATAGATATGCCTGACAATGCTACCTGGTGTTTACCAGGAAAAATAAATGGTATTAAGTGTTTTGTGAGAAATAAGTTCTTTCTGCCCTCTACACTGTGAAACAACAATGAAAAAAGGTAGATTATTTTTTGGATAAAATTTAACTAGAAATATGTTACAGTAGTGCACCTCATGTTTCCATTTGCTAATGAGCGTTCAGTCTATCAGTCTAAACCAAAGCTAGTAGAAAGTTCTTAGTCTTGAAAATGCAAACAATTTGGACATCGGGTACTTCGCATAAGGTGTTTCAATTCACACATCTGCTCTTACTGGCAAGGTAGACTTACACAGAAGCTATTTGTTTTAATTGGAAGCAATACCTATTTTCTACCTCATGAGGTCCTCCTACTTTAATTTTTCTGTCAAGTACTGGCATAGGATTATGAAGGTCAGCTTTGCAGGGAACAATACAGACTGCTGTTGAAAATGTTCCAGATAGTGAAATAGAGAAACAATAAGTTATGTGTAGTTTCAGCAGTGCTTTAAGCTGAGACCTATTTTAGGAGGTAAATGCAGGCTTTTGATTGAAATTGTAGTTCTGTTTATACTTTACATATTTTCTAGTATTTTATATTTGTGTGTCTGTAGTTCAGAACCAATATTGACACTGAGATTTATGGTAATACGAAGTTCAAAAAATAATAGGCTACTTAGTACTAATTGCCATGTAATTGCCAGGCTTCTTATCTGAAGCTCTTTTTGAATCCTCAGACATCTAGATATGGCTACAGCCAGTTACTCTGCATTGAAGGTGCTCAGGGTTTCAGAAGAGGTAGTTGTGTTTCCTACAGCAAACACCTGGATGCATCTTGAAAAGTACAATGTACAATTTAGATTTAAACTTGAGATAGTTATCCGCATATAAGCATAAAGACAGAAAGACTGCACATAACCTTCTGAAAGATTATGGGTGTGATGTCTCTAAGGTGGTTTTATTTCAGGAGAAATAACATGAAAATTGGTTTTGTGAAAAGTCAAGGTGAAGAAAGGAGTAAGTGACTTTTTTCTTGATGTACTAGCTAAATCAACCTCCCAGCCTTCTTGTTGCCAGTCTGGAAGAAGCCATAACCCAAATGCTGCCTTCTTCTTGCTTATCTATTAAAAATATATCTTCACTATTGGAGTAAGTAGTACAGTGGAATTTTTCAGCACTGTAAGTCAGTTGAGTCAGCATTAAAGTTATGACTTTTTCTAGGCATAGCTGTTTGGGGGCTATTTTACAAAAGATTCTGCAACTTTCTCAGCTGTGTAAGTAGCCATTTCAGGATTTCTTTTCTTCTATTCTCTAGTATGCTTTTAGCAAAGAGAGCTTAGTGTCAATTCAAAGAAGAAAGCATCTGTAAATTGAACAGAAAATCTCAAGAATGGATGAAATAGTATACTTTGAGGATATCCTGCCTCAGCTCAAGTTAGTGAAATGAGTTAACAGGAACATTACTGAGAGTTAATGGCCCATTTCAAAGTAAGCAAATACAATTTATGGGTTTATGTTCTTCTGAAATCAGTACAATTTAAACTTTTAATTCATTGCTTTCCTGAAAAAACAAGGTGTTAAATGAGGATGCAGGCTACCAGTCCTATACAGGGGTATCTTTTGTGGTATTTCCATTGTCTGCTACTTGTGAATCCCAGAGATTGTAGCTTAATTAGGGCAGGCATACAAATATTCTGGTTAATGGATGTGCTTTGTTAGTACCCATTCATTAAGTGGTGCTTGAACGGGTAGCTAACAGGATAAACAGAATCTCTCATGATTAGAAATATAGCTAAAATATTTGAGATTGTGATATTGCTCTCCATACCTTTTGGGTCTTCCCTGAAATCTTAAGGAAGCTGAAACTGGCACAAAACATAGAGTGGTGCTTTTGAGTACCTGAAGTCTTGTCAGTGTTACAAATGTGAGATCTGTAATACTGAGATTTATTTTCCTGGAGGAGTCTGACTGTATTCTATAGTGCTTGGAAGTCCAAGGTCATATCAACCTGAATGATCTCTTCTTTACTATAGCTTTTGTATGCAAACATTGTCCAGCCAAAGCACCTTAGCTAAACATAGAAAATGTGAAAGATGATAAAGTTAGGGTACTGCTTGTAGCATCCCATTCCACTGGACTTTTATTTCATAGGGGTAATATTTTCTATTCTGTGCTTCTGTTTTCTAAGAGGAAAAGTGATGCTTTGAAGACTCAGACTTGAATGGCTACTATTTTGGAAGCAGTATGTAATTTATTTCACCCTGCCTGAAAGAAGCATTTGGTTTATTTCTATTTCATTAACTTCCTAATTCTAATATATAATAAAGATAATAGAAGTTCTTTAAATGATGTTTTCAATATGTTGTTTTTGTAAAATGAATGGATAAGCAGAATTGAAATGTTGCTACGCTTTTTCAGGTAGCTTAAAGAATGCCTTTCTTCCAGTGTTTGTGGTGGCTGGAATATTACTCAGATGAAACCTACTTTAAACACTTGAATTTATTCAAGGGAAAAATACCTGGCTTTGTAAGAAACCTGCACACGAATACATTGGGTCTGTAAGGGTTCAGTTTCTCTGCTCCAGCCTGCACTTTTTAGCAGGTGCAGATTCCATTCCTGTTGTGTCTTCCTTGATATCTGCAACTGAAAGGGACAAGAGAAAATGTTGCTGAAGCATGCTGTAACCCATCTGTTCTCTGGTGGGTGCCCCTTACCTGTACGAGTTAGAGAACCCACCAAGCCTCTGCAAAGCCAAATTCAGTAACTGTAGAACTGGGAAAACTGATGTTATCATTCACTTTGTGCCTCTCTGCTCAAGCAAAGAGCTCTGGTTTGTCAGAAAATTCTGCAAATCCAGTGATAATGTGGATAATTGTTTCCTTGTAATATAAGAACCCATTGTTCGTTAATTATTCCTTTAGGTCTTTCACTGTTGAAATCTGGTCATACTTAGTCTGCTATTACAGAGAAATTAATATTCAGCAGTTGGATTTCTGCAAAAACAATGGATGAGTAAAGGCATTTCTGGATTATAAGAGATGAAACCTTTAACTCAGGGAGGTCTTATTTCAAAACAAAGACCTTCCTTTTCATTATAGCAATTTTCCCATGACTTATTTGATGTCTGTTTATATAAATAATTCTCATTTGTGCGTTTTTACAATACTAGCCTTTGTCAAACATCTGTGTTCATTTATATTTGGTAAACTTATTACCAAAGTATTGTTTCACTTTTGTCTCCAAGAGTCTTTTCCCCACCTCTAGCCTATTACTGAACTGTACCTTCGCTGCTTAAGGGCATGAAAATATCCTTTATATCTGTAGGACCCACCCCTCTACAGAGGCAGTAAGTTTGATCTCTGTGGGTATAGATTCATAACTTCTTAGAAGTCCTTGTGTTCGCTGCATTATTTGGAGGAAAAGGAATTAATGTGAGCCACTTGCAGGAGGGGTGCATTGTTCTGGTGGCCTTCGTGAGCCACAGTCAGTCTTCCAGTGAGTGCTTCGGTACTGTCCCCTTGCACAGTTCTTAGTGCTGTGCAAACATGAGTGCTAAACAAGCTAGGTGAATAACAGAAAGACACATATCAGTAAGCTTTCAAATAATCTGCTTTTCCAGGTATAGGTGGAGGTCATGTAGAATAGATGAATCTAATGCTTCTTGTGCTTCTAAAAGAAAAAAAAAGTGTACTTGCTGTCAAAGTAAAGGTTACTTAAATGTATCTTTTATCACTTAAAATAGAAAGCTCTATATTATATAAACCCAGTGTCATCTGTATTCACTAATGGTGTTGCTGTTTGCTACATGTATGATTACTTCTTTTAATGCTTTATTTTCTAAGAGACCAGAATGTCCCTGGCAATTATCCAAATTGGTATTATGTTGCTAAACCATTGTAAACGTGAGGTAGATGATGTCCTATATATGTCATTCAGATTAGTTTACTTATGGCATGAAACAAATATATATTGTTTATAAAGACTAACTGTTTACAGGTTAAAAATCATCTGAAACCGAGACTGGTAGAACTGGTGGTCATTTTACAGGAAAAACATTAAGACAAAGCGTAGGAAAATCTGGCTTAAAGAATATTGATTGCAAAGAAGAAATGCTTCTGAGTTAGGAAATAATTGAATTAAATCTTCATTTGTAAGTTTAACTGACCCCTCGAGACATTTATATTATAACACCTGTTAAATATTATATCACATTTCTTCCACAGAAAATTGAAGTTGTGGTCATTTAGATTTCTCTGGAAAAGTGGCTTCAAGTCCAGGCTACTTCCTACTGGTTATGGATTCTCAGTGTCTGTTTGTCCTGTTTCCCCTCTAGTCCCATTCCAAACCAGGATATAGCTATAATAATAAGATATAACAGATAAACTAGGAATAGCTTATTTACTTCAATATCCTTAGCTGAGGAATTTGTGCAAAGAATTTCTAGTTCTGTGAATTTTTCAATTTAAAGGTTATAACTTTAAAGGTTCAGGAAAATCATATAAAGTATTTTCTCCAGATTAATAAAAGATAAGGGGAAAGATGGTTTACTGCTTTTGGTGCCACTGAGCCTGTATGTTGAGCAGTTCAGTCTTTTATAGTGTAAACTAAGCTGTTGTCCCAACCTTTTGTTTGACTTTTTTGAATTTACAAACCAAAGTTAATTTGAATTAATATTAAGTAGTAAAATGAAGTGAGCAATATCCTTCTCTGAATTGGATTTTACAGCGTTTATCGTTTACTTCAGCTGAATTAAAAGTTAACAGCTTCTTTTTTCTAGTTTTCCTTTATTTATGTATAAATTTTAAATAACACTCTTCTGTGATAACATAGAATACAATATAAGAGCAGGAACTGGGCAGAAAAATTAAAAACAGCACTAGTTTTAAGAAAAGTTTAGACTGAATACTTGCATTATAAGTCCATCTATATGATGTGGAAACTCTGAACTGGGTGTGAATTCAGGCGATAATAGTAAAATATCAAATAACATTTAATTAAAAGTAGTTTATCTTGTACAGAAATTAAGGGGCGAATTAATAGCATCAGATACATTTATATAAAACTTTTAATTCAATTAGATTTTCAGTAGTCATAGAAGTAATGATGTACTTCTCAGGAATATCTCACTCTGTAAAAACCTGTTTTTTCTTTGTGCATCGTTCATTGAAAAATCAGGAAATGAATTGGCTAACCACGAATCCTAATAGGTAGCCCTACTGCCAACTCCAGTACTTTTAAGCTAAATCTGCACTTTTTTTTTAAACCTTTGTTGTTAACAGGAGTTTTAACTTTTCAATTAAATTCTGTAATCTATAGGAAGCCAAGGCAGCTGTAGAGGAGACAAGAGCCTTGAGAAGTAGGATTCATCTTGCTGAAGCTGCACAAAGACAGGCTCGTGGTATGGAGATGGACTATGAAGAAGTAATTCGCCTGTTAGAAGCTGAAATCGTAGAGCTGAAGGCTCAGCTCACTGATCATTCTGGCCAAAATAAAGTAAGCAAAGCAGCCAGTCTCCTGTCGTAGTTACCATGGTTTCCTTGCTGTTGTCATGTATCTTGTTTTCATTTTCTTTTCATCTGCTTTCCTAAAGTAGGTCACTGTTTGTCTTGTATTATTCAATAACTGGAATGATGCGGAGCGAAGGGGGTAATGTGAAGCGTATGAGTCTTCCTTTATCCAGATATCTTGGGGCTGCAAAAACAGGAGCTAGAAGCGTATGTGGGTCATAGGTCAATACGGAACATCTCAAGCATTAAAGCAGGGAGTAGTTTCCGGACTGCAGATATATCCTCTGTAAAGGCTATACGTATATTTGTATGCTTTTGTATATATGTACAAGTGGTCTTAATATTTTTATATTTCTGTTAGACAAATAATAGTGATAATAAAGTCCACCACTGTTCTTAAGTAAATTTTGATTTAATCAAGATAATCACCTAAAAGCTACTAACAGTACTCTGCCAGAGAAATTTCTTTTTTCAGTTGAGCTTCATATTTTAAAACTACTTCATTTTCAGTAAGTCGTTTCAAAACATGTTAAGGAATAAAATATTTTAAGCACTTTTTAATTTTTCCCCATAATTGAGGATCCATTTTCTACACACAGTTTGAAAAACTGCAGACAGGTCGGGATTTGAGGGTTTACCTTCTTTTCTCATGAAAAATGGATGTGCACAGGAATTAATGGTGAAGGAAACCTACTGAAATGGTCCCTGTTTCAGCATGAGAATTAGTTCAACATTAAAACGGTTAAACAGACCTCTATGGTGTACAAGCTTACAAAGAAGCATAGCAATGATCTGTAATTCCTCTCACCTAATTGTGAGTGTGCATGATAAGATGTATCACACCGTAGAAGCTGTTCTTTCTGAACATCTGGGTGAGATGCCCCAGCTTTTATGGTTTTTTTTTTAAGTTTTATTTGTTTTCTAGGACTTGAATAAATATAAAAATACTAAGAAATTCAGAGCATGTGGGTTGCTGTATTAAAGATTTGTTTCTAAGATGCTAGCTTGAACTCCTGAAATTCTGATTGCACACTTGAAAATCTGAGGTGAGATTTGGTTCTGTGTGTTTCTTACTCAAAATAGCACTATCAGGTAACTATAGGTAGCTATATCAGGTAGCTATATCAGGTAACAGTACAGTTGATATAAAGTCTTTATATATTTTTATGTAGCTGATTTTTCTATATATATATATATTTTTTTTAATATTAAAAAGTATTGTGTCTCGGAGGGCTGACCAGCTACTTCTCCAGCAGTGGACAGTGAGATTACAAAAAAAGATGTTTCAATTGAGAGGTTCTTTGGCATTCTAAGAGATGGTGATTCTGCTGCTTTGTACATTATGTACAAACAAATGGGTGCATTCATTTGTCTCAAGTAAAGATAATAAAAAGTGGCTTTGGGGAGTGTGTTTTTTTTTTTTTTTAACAACTTCTGTAGGAGGTAGTGGGCTATCAGAAAGGATTACATACAGGCTATGAAAATTTGTTTTAATGATAGTGATATGTTCTTAGTTTTGGAGCATATTTTGTTCTAGATCTTCTGTTCAGTGAATATCTTACCTAAACAAATGTGCCTGTGTACATGTGAAGACTTCACTCGTGGTCCTCACACTTGAACAGTAGTACCGGGGACTCAGGGCAGAGCCTGGATCCTCCAGAACTCGAGCTAATGAGTCAGACTTGGTAGCTGGGGCTCACAATCTCTGTAGCTGAAGTAGAAAAGGGATGCATAACACTGATCAATAGGTTATACAAGTGCATGTAGAGAAATCCTAGGGGGTAATTTTCTTCACGATATGCCGTAATTACTCTGTTGGCCAAAGGATGTACAGATGCAAACTAGTGGACTGAGCTCGTTCACACGCTGGCTATTTATGCCACCCTGCTGATAGGTACTGCCAGCATCAGTTCAGTATTTTTCATCCATTCATGAATCAGTTCAAACAATCTAAAGTTTCAGACCTGTCACTGTTGTTATATGCCAATTTCAATTGACCTTGATATCATAATCCAAAATGTGTAGTTGTTCCTTACTAGTAGATCAGGCAAACCTGCCTCAGGAGCAGTTATGTTTTTCAGAAAGGTTGAAAAGATGATGTGTTAAATTTTTCAGACATCCATTTTAATTCACACC